TTCACAAATTATTTAGATGGCCAATTAATAGGAGCAAGAACCCTTTGTCATCACCCTGAGATTGGAACGGTATAGTAAAAAGCAAAATGTGACGATGAGTTTAGACGTTTAGTGAAGATAATTATTTGAGTTTAGTAATTAGAATCAAATATTTTTAATGAAGATAATTATTTAAAAATGATCACTCATTTGATATTTATGTTGCTTAAAGTGTTGATCATCACGGGAGACAGAGACCGACTAGTCCCTGCTTGGAACTCTGAAAGACTGTCCCGAGCTATTCCGGGAGCTTGCTATGAAATAATCAAGAATTCTGGTCACTTGCCTCATGAAGAGAAAGTGGAAGAGTTTATATCTATTGTGGACAGATTTTTGCATAGGGTGCTTGGTGGGGTGGAGCAACCACACATACAAGCAGTTACCTAAAATCACTAAGAACCACAACCAAGTCTTAGCTCTTGTTTGGTTTGGATGGGTGGAAGGAATGAAGCTGGTAAGCTGGAGGAGTGTTGTCTGTTTGGCTAATTGGGGGAGTTGGGGGGTTATAGGGGCAGGTGAGGGGAGGGGATGAGCTACAGATTCCTTGTAACTCATATCTCACTCCATTCATTTGAGATACTTTGGAAGAGTTGTACTTCCTGGATTTCTTTTTCAATTTGTTCCAAAATTGTTATGCATTGTTATTGCGTTTTATTGTATCAAACCCTTTAAATATACAAATTATGCACATTAATACCTTTTTCTTTAAGAAATGTGTCAAACCCATCATATTGTAATTAATCATGCGCACAACACCGTAAAACAACAAATATAGTAAGTTGTAGTCACATGATGTTCATAAGTTCAATTTCACAAATATTTAGGAAGGCCTCTTATCTTTTATGTTAAAAATATCAGTGGATGAGTTAAATTATGTTACATTATATTGTTAATTCACTCGGTTATGCTGAATGTGTGTACACTTCTTTTCATAAAATATCTAATTAAATCTGAATCTATATACACGAGTTTGAATAGATGGTCACAACAATATCATACTATTAGAAACTCATGGGAGACCACGGGAATTTGGTGACTAGCAAAATCAGCATTTAGATTGCTTGATATTTGAAAAGAAATAATGGAAACCAAGAAATCAAAATCAGTAGTACTAAAAGCATGTTTTAATCTTATTCAGTCAAGAAGTTGTAGACAATAGAGTGCTTGGACAGAACATGAAACATGCAGAAAAAACATCCTAATTAGATTGTGGTACTTTGTTAAAACATCTTGGCAAACTGGACGAACTTGTCTGCAGGAGGTAAGACATCTTTAACAGCATCATTAACAACAAAGTTGTCAACCCAATGGGACAAATTGGGATTTGGGAAACTTGGTTTCATCAAACAGTTTAACGTCGTTAAACTCCTCGATCACCTTGAACCAACCTATGACTTTACTGTGAAGTGCACTGTTTGGCACTGTTTGACACTGTTTTGCACTGCTTGACACTGTTTTGATGTAGATTATTTGCCAAATAAGGAAAGTATTGAAGTGTGAACTTAATTTAGGGACTGCCCAAAAAGGAAAGAGATGCATGCTTGTCTTTGTGTGGATCAGTGATCCAAATTGGTGGGGCCTAGCGGAAAACTAAAAAATTTAAGCAGTGTTATACAATGGAAAAAGGTAACCAAGTATTTGGAAGAGAAATGAGGATTTATTGATTTATTTCTTACTGTGCTGTCATACAAATGAAAGAAAAATCTTCATCAATGTGCTGTCATTTTTTTTTGTTTAATCTCTATTGCAATAAGTTCTCAATTTGAGTCACGGAAACAGTATTAAAGATACTCGTATTGTAATTAGATTTAAAAAATGTAATTAGACTTCGTGATTATTTTCACAATGTGGTACTGTGGACAATGGTTTACTTTATCCTATTTAAATAGAAGATGTAATGCCCCTTTACTTCACAATATTCATCATAAATATTTTTCTTCATTTATTGTCGATTAATTGAAGCTAGTTTTGAAAACCTTTTATTTGAAAGGTTGAAAACCTTATTATAAAAACCCATATTAGGATAAAAGAACAATAAAGGGTAAAATGGTATAATTTCTTAATCAAAATTATTATTACCTCCATCGCTAATATCTATGTGAAGTTTGACCGCCACGTAGAGTAATAAAGTAAAAAAATGTACTTAAATTTGTGGAGTGAAGATAAGTAATAAAATCACAAATTAGACTCCCGCTATTCCGAAATAATTGTGTTTTTTTCAGTTTTGTGATATTCCAAAAGATTTACTTTTTTTCTTTTCCCACAGTTCAACTGCTATCTTTTGCTCTCTTTTCATGTGTAGATTACTCGCGCATTTTTACTGAAAGCTTTCTTTTATTAATAGTTTAATTACATACACTTGTGTTATATCATAATTCATATTCTCAATTGATTAATGATACTTAATCATTTATTCTGAAGAGAACACTAAGGGTATGTTTGGTACAACTAGCTGAAAAAATACTTTTATGAGCTTATTAATAACTGTTACTCCCTCCGTCCCAAAATTATCTTCATAGTTACTATTCACATGGTCAACTCAAATTACTCTTAATCTTTTACTTTATATATCAAATTTTTATCAAACTTAAAATTTCTTGATCAGGCTTTGTAGCGGTTTTAATGTAGTTTCTGAATATGTAAATTTTATTTACTAAAAATAATCCGAGTGTGAACAGGGGTCGAGTTGCTTTATCGTCAGTCAAGCATCGTAAACCGAACTATGAAGATAAATATGGGACGGAGGTAGTAGCTTTTACTGACTGAAAAGATCTTAAAAAGAAAAAGTGGTAGCTGTTTGATAAAAAACTGACTGTTTGATTTAGTTCGATTTGGTATACAAACTGTTGGGATTAATTAATACTAAAAGGCATGGGCTTTTTTCAAATGCTACTTCATGTAGCATCTCAAAAAAGATTTTTAATTTTTGAAAAACTCTTAAAAATTGTCATGTCGAACATAAAACTAGAAAGCAGAGACTTATGCCCGCCAAACATAGCCGCCTAAATCCATTTTCTTTGTTAGTTTTATAGATTGCAGTTTTAACTATCACATCCATTCGAGCTGCAATGAAACTCGTAGGAGTAAAACAGGAAAGGAAATGAACGCTCTTGAACATGAGAGTTAGAGCCATTCTGTCTAGGCTGTTTGACCTGCAAGTCTGCAACAATAGATGCTAGAAAGCAGAAGGGACAGTCATGGCTTTCCCCTTTCTTTTTTATTTTATTTTTTTATTTTTTACCAGTTTAGTAAGTGAGAGCTCATTGGGGAGGAATAGCCATGAATTTCAGAATATTTTAGCATTATGCATATATCAAATAAATATGAGATGAGCGTTAATAGTTGGACTTATTCATGTGATTTTTTTTCCCATTTTGTTTTACCATGCAGCTATGAGCTATTTTTAATGTTCCGAATCATCACGTCTCTGGCCACATTATTCATTTCTCTGGCAGCATGCCTTGGTTTGCTGATGGAGGCAACTCTTGAAGATTCACATAGGCAGATTTCTGAAAGTGGGTTGTGCACACCAAGAGGGGTAAATTAGGTACACTGAGATGTCCTTTTTGCATTTGAGAAACATTGCAATGAAAAATGAATATAAATTCAATACCAATGCAGTGAAAAGGAAAAAAAATTAAGCCAGAGGAAGTAGTTTATATGAGTTCTGACTTCTGAGATATCAATGGAGGAATTAACAGCGGCTTTCTGCCTGTGTTTTTTTAGCCAGCTGATCGATCTGATCCATCTTCATGTAAACAACAATTAGGAGACACTGTGTACATCATTGTAGTTGATCCTAATATGTCATCTTCGAATCCACATGCTCTCAAGAATGGCCTGATGGAAACACATGAGCCAAAATTAGTTCAACTTTGCAGTTTGTAAAGTTAAGCTAACAATGAAAAGAAGAGCACAAATCATCCTCCAAGACATAGTTACATAAATCGTTGGGAAGGTCACGATCTGCGAACCGAACGCTCCGTACCGAATCGCGGTACAAAAGCGATCCGGTCGCCACCTGGAACGCTAAACAGAACGTACTTCAACTCGATCCCAATCGCTTTTAGAAACGATCTTATTCGCTGTTCGCATCGATTTCAAATGCTTTCAAACTCGATCGAAAACGAATCTCAGGTCATTCCTCAACTGTTTCCCCAGTGAACCCGTTTGTGAAGGTCGTTTCCCAAATTGAATCGTCGTTTGAAGACGAACGCGCAGATTTGAAATACGGTATTATTTGTACAGGTCGGCGGCTCTGCGCTTCGTTTTCTGGAATATTAATTAATGTTTTCAAACCAGGCTCTTCGTTTCTACTAACAGGCGCTACTAATTTTTTCTAATAGGTTTACGGAATATCAAACCAGGCTCTTCGTTTTCTGGAATACGAAGTATTAATTAATGTTTTCAAACCAGGCTCTTCGTTTCTACTAACGGGCGCTACTAATTTGTTCTAATAGGCATACGGAATATCAAACCAGGCTCTTCATTTCTAGAATATTAATTTGGAATATTATTGTTTTTTTAATTTTGTTTAATGTTATGACTTATGCTTATTAAATCTGTTTGTCTAATCTATGATTTATAAAATCTGTAATTCAGTTTTATTAAAGTACCAAAATATAAGGTACAATGTACCGAACATGTGGTACACCGTACCGAACGCGTACCGGAATGAGCCTACCCCCCTCCGAACCGGATACGCTAGACCTAGCGAACCGCGTTCCCGATCCTCGTTCCCGTACCGAATCGTTCCGCGAACTATGTGACTATGCTCCAAGACAGCAACAACATTTTGATGTTCATACAAGTGGAGTATTATATTTTATGCTAGATGACATATTTCTGGTTTTTCGCATCTTCAGAGCAAATATGCAAGAGGTCCTAAGATCACATTCTAAATGTCAATCTCATAGAGGTTCATTATTGAAACAAACAAAATGCATAAATAAATAAGAAGGTTTTGCTATAATACACCAAGTATTTCTAAAATGGAGCTCATGAAAAAAAAAGTCTACACGTCACCGTGAAAATACATATTTCCATCATTTGCAATGGAGCCAACGATTCATTATTTTTTGGCTTGAGAATATGATGGAATAAAGCAAAATGGCTCACTAAACTGTATGCGCTTCTTTGTTATGAAGCAACAATCAGTCCATGCAATTTTGGACGCGATTTTCACTATGGGTCATCCGGAAACAATCTCTTTGTGCTTTAGTACAGGGGTAAGACTGCGTACATCCGACCACCCTTACCCCACCGTAGGTGGGAGCCTTTGCGGCACTGGGGTAAATGAAAATGAAAAAAATGAAAATGTCACTGTGAAAATACAATCATTGTCAGTGCAGTGTAAAATTGAACACTATGAGCCAAAATTAGTTCAACTTTGCAGTTTTTACAGTTAAGGTAACAATGAAAAGAAGAGCACAAATCATCCTCCAAGACAGCAACAACATTTTGATGTTCATACAAGCGGAGTATTATATTTTATGCTAGATGACATATTTCTGGTTTATCACATCTTCAGAGCAAATATGCAAGAGGTCCTAAGATCACATTCTAAATGTCAATCTCATAGAGGTTCATTATTGAAACAAACAAAATACATAAATAAATAAGAAGGTTTTGCTATAATACACCGAGTATTTCTAAAATGGAGCTCATGAAAAAAATAAGTCTACACGTCACCGTGAAAATACAACCATTGTCAATGCAGTGTAAAATTGAACACTATGTTGCACGGAAACGCGAAAATCATGAGGAAACGGGAAACGGGAAAGTTGAACTTAATAAGACTAGTGAACTTACATAGAATTCCACATATAATAAATTGGAAATGGGAAAATTGGAAATTGGAAACTCTCCAAACGGGATATAATGACCTCCAAAACAATGCACAAACATAGAATTCCACATATAATAAGACTAGTGAACTTACATCTCTGCATTGGAGCAGAGAGCTGCTATATCATATATGCCTTTACGTGTAAGCATCCTGCAATTAGAAAAAAAACGTCATAACTCAATTGTAAATAAGCAGTCAGTTGTAATTACTCCAAACAAACACGAAACAGATCACCAAAAGCTGGATTGATCTCCAAAGTAATTGGGTACTAGAATTCAGCCCGCAATTAATATGTCGAGTATCTAATTAGAGAACAGAAACCTAATTATCATCTGAACTATCCTCTTGCCAATGCCCCTCCGTCTTAATGATGGAATGACCTACAAATCACACAAATAGCCACAACTGTGCAGTCCAGCAGATCAAAAATAAAAAATCATAATCTATACAGTTGGGAGAATTGGAGATACTGCAGATGTATTAAATCTTAAGTTGGCATAATACAGCATTTCCTTCTAACAGAGTATTAAAGAGCTCAATTCCAAGCCAAATGTTGTACACTCCATTTTAATATAGTTAAATTGCTGAAGAAAAAAGGTTGAGCAAAGTAAATGCGGAGTATCAATATCGGTAGTGGAAAAGGTAATGATCAGAGTATCAGACCATAACATCGTAGATGGAAGCAGTGAGCGCAGAATCGGAGACTGCACGGCCCAACCCAACCAGTTTGCAGTTGGACGGCGTCACGGGCGACAGTATCCGAACCAAATCTCCTCCAATACCAGACAAATGGGAGAATATTTCGGGCTGGGAAAATACCGCGACGAAGACGGAACTATGGAGGAGAGCTTTACGGAGTTTGTTGAGGTCGACTGGATCGACTCGGCCATCGGGGTCGAGGTTGGGGAAGCGGCGGTAGCAAGAGTGATTGCAAGCAGAGTAAAGGTCGCGGACGCAGCGGATGTCAACGTCGTTTACTTTTGTTGTTATTGATAATGGCGGCGGCTTGTTTCGGATTCCAGAGATGATTCGCCGCGATAATGGGAATTCGGAGGGGAGATAACCGCCGTGCACGGCCAGCAACATCAGTAGTTGTTTCCCGCAAACATTGATAAGATGTAAATCGCGGCTGGCATTTTGTGTATTCGGGGAACAATTTTGTAATTAGTTTCAATTTTGCAATTGTTATAATTTTATTCATTTTTTGTTTAAGTTTTTCAAAAAATATACTTCGTATCTAACATCTTTAATTTCTTATGATTTTTATACTTCCTGAAGGTTCTCACTTTCCTTTTTTGGACGTCTCATATAAAGGTTCTCATTTCCATTTTAGGAAACAATTAATCATCTTAAGCGACAATTAATCATTAAATAATACATTTATAACATCACAGTTATGAATACTAACTACATTATAATATATACCTATTAAAGTTATTTCTCAAAATATACTCAAATACTTTATTTAATTATTGTCTAAATAACCGTGTTGTTTTCATATGGAAACCTTTCAACGGTACGGAGGTAGTATGATCTTTCATATTTCAAATGATCTTTCAATATTGTGTATTTTATAGCATTTGAATTATTTTACTCCGGGATTATATAAGGGAGGGGTGGTGTACGCCCTGCTTAGGTAATGTCCCTATAGCCTAGTTAACTTAGGTACTGCAAGGCGGGTTGAAAATTTTATTAGAAAGTTTAATTTATAAAATATGATGATAATCAGAATAGTAAAAAGTGGTAGTTTGTGGGGTAAATCCCACAAACTACCTTTTCAGGATGTTATTCATTCTTGTACTGCTCCGTTAGAACTTATTCACTCGGATGTTTGGCAGTCGCCTATTTTATCTAATCTTGGTTTTAAATATTATGTTTCTTTTATTGATGATTTTTCTCGTTATACGTGGGTTTATCCTATGCGTAGTAAATCAGAAGTTTTTCACCATTTTTATAATTTTCAAAATCTTGTTGAAAATCTATTGAATACGAGAATTAAATCTTTTCAAGGTGATGGTGGAGGTGAGTTTGACAATATTATTTTTCAAAATCATTTTTTAAAGACCGGGATTTTATTTAGAAAGTCATGTCCTGATACTCCTGCTCAGAATGGTGTGGCGGAACGCAAACATTGTCATTTACTTGAATTAACTATGACCATGTTGATTGAATCTTCTCTCCCGTCTACGTTTTGGGTTGATGCTCTTTATACAGCTACTTATATTGTTAATCGCCTCCCTACTCTACTTTTGAAAAAATTAACTCCGATCCTTTCGAGAAGATTTTTAATAAAGCTCCTAATTTTAACTTTCTACGTGTCTTAGGGTGTGCTTGTTTTCCAAATTTTGTTGCCAATTCTTCAAATAAACTCTCACCGCGCTCCATTTGTTGTGTTTTTATCGGGTATGCCCCGGGATATAAGGGCTACCGTTGTTTACATCCTTTAACAGGTAGAGTCTACATTAGCAGGGATGTTCAGTTTCACGAACATAACTTCCCTTATTCTCACCTTGTTTCCCGACCTTCTAACCAGCCCACGAACTTCCCCTTACCGGCTTCCTGGTCACTCACCCGCTCACGGCCTGCATCCTTGGTGTTGCCACCGGTACCTCCAAGCAGTATGCTCCCTTCCACTACATCTGACCCCACCATCCCAGTACTGCATACTCCACCTTTCAGTTCTGTATCCCAAAACCAGAATCATACCTCTCCACCGACCCACACTCCGCCTGCCACGCCACTTTTCCCTACCCCACCAGCCTCTCCGGCCTCACTTTCCCAGACATCCAGCGATTGTTCTGCCGCGGGCAGTCCCCAGACCACCTCGGTGGACAGTCCGCCTATATCTACCAGCCCGTCACCTATCCCCCCTCCAGTGGCTAATGCTCATCCTATGCAGACTCGCTCTAAGGATGACATTTTTAAACCTAAAACAATTTTTAATTTAAGTATTTTTGCACCCCCTGATGATCCAACTTGTTTTTCTCAGGCACAAAAATTACTTGTTTGGCAGGATGCTATGGCTGATGAGTTTAATGCGTTACTGTTAGGTCCCCTAGATTTTGATATTCAATGTAATAGTTTTGATGATGCCATCCTCCTATTTATTAGTCTTCTTTACTGTACTAGACAAATCTACTACTTGTTCAGCTTTGTGAAAATTGTAATGTGCTCCATATCTAGCAGATAAAGTGCTCATAAAAAGAAAAGAGTACCAAAAGAAAAAGAAAAGTTAACTGTACCATAAACAAAAGAAACAAAAAGAGAAGGTACAAAAACAAGTTAACTAGTATTCAAGTGACAAAAATAATGTACAATCTTTGTACCAAATAAATTTTACTGGAAATATAAAATGCAATAAGGTAAATATTATTTACCTTAAAAAGGATATTTAAATCCATCCAGTATAAATTTATTTGATATAAAATATTAAAACAGTCACTTTCAATGGTCTATTGTGACAAATTAAAATGTACAATTTTTGTACCAAATAAATTTTACTGGAAATATAAAAAGCAATAAGGTAATTTTCCATTACCTTAAAAGAATATTTAAATCCTGCCAGTACCAATTTATTTGATACAAAAAGGCAAGTCACAAAGTCCTAAATTGAACACAGTATACACAATACACTACACACGCATAATTGCACACAAAGCCAAAAAGAGAATAGTACATGAAGGCCTAAGGTATGGGTTCGCATACTGTGAAGATAAACCTTGCAAATGGATCCTATTACAACTCTGAGAAGATAAACTGCTTCAACACAAGAAGACGAAAGTACAATACTTTCGACGTCAAAAATTAAAATCCTCTCAACCAACGGAGGAGATTAATCAACCGGAGATGCCTATAAATATAGGCATAAGCATGAGTTGAAAACCAAGTTTTTTAGAGTCTTCTAAGCAAGAGAAATCATACTGAGCATTCAAAGAGATATTTAGCAAAAGCGAAAGTGCTCGTTTAGCTTAGTGATACGTTTGTAATTTCCATGTGTTTATTTACGTTTTTAGTTAGTTTTGGTTGTTTAGTATTTCGGAAATTACACACTTTCGGTGTAATAGTTTAGTTTGTTAAATTCTTGTAAATTGTTTAGATTAGGTTTATTCTGAGCTCAAACAGGTCCACCATCACTCAAAGGACAGTTGGTGAACCCCAAAAGTGGAAGGAAGGTGCAAAATCACAAGACAAAAAGGGAAGATCCTGATTTTGGTCTATACTCGGTCGAGTATTACCTATACTCGATCGGGTATCTTGTCGAAATTTTAAATCGGATCGGATCCGAAAACAAAGGAACATGCAGGGAAGATTTTACCACGATCGAGTGTCTATACCCGATCGGGTACACCGACATACTCGATCGGGTATAGCTATGAATTCTACTCGAATATCGATCGAGTATGGATCGAATTCGAGTTTCTACACATACTCGATCGAGTATATTACCCGACCTGCACCTCAAAAAAGCCTATAAATACACCTCCTTTCCTTCACTTTTAAAGACCAATTCCTTTATACTCTTAAGCTCAGTTTAGAATAGCATTTCTTTATATTTCTTTTAGCATGTTTAGTCTCCAAATGAGGAGCTAAACTTCCATTTCTTGGTATTGTTCTTGAAGCTTGTTGATTATTAAATTTGTGAGTTATTTTCTTAACTTCTTTCCTTGAATATTAATTCTTCCTTTAAATACTATTTCTATATCAATGTTGGGGAGTGTTGCTAAGATAACAATTAGTTAACATCTTGAAATTGGTCTTAGTAATAGCTATTCCTTCCTCTATGTTAATATTGGGGAGTGTTACTAAGATGACAATTAGTTAACATCTTGATATTAACTTTAGTAGGATTCATTTTCTTTAATATTCTTCCTTGAGTATTAATTAATTCCTATTCATATTTCATATTAATATTTTGAACATTACCTAAAGGATCAACTAGTTTTGTTTCACATATTAATTATTACTAGAAACGATCAACGAACCAATGGTTAATCGTTGATAGTTTCACAAGTAAGTAACTTCGGTTTATTAATGCACGGTCGTGGTTAATAAACTTGAGAGGGATTAATTTTGTTGGTTAAACCGAAACCGTTGTGTTAAGGTTATCAATCTCAATTGATTTCATCAAGGAGTTAAAAGATTAAATGCTACTATCAAGTCGGTATATGGCGTTGTTCTATACTTGACTAATAGTAAAGGTTATTAATGAACGGTCGTTATTAATAACTATCCTCGATGAATTGGATATACTCCTCGATTGAGTATTCGAGAGGAGATAAGTTATAGATATAACAATGATCGACTAAAATATATCAACAAGTGGAAAGTAGCAATGCCAAGTCTCTTTTATTCTTGATTTTAAGCCCACATAACTCGTTCATCTTCGTGTTTAATTTAATCAAATTACTCAATCAAAACTCCTCCCCCCTTTTATTTACTAGTTACATAAAAAGAAAGTTATTCCTTTCCATGTGGATACGAACTCTACTTCACTATACTACGTATTAGTGCTAGTATTGAATTTATTTTGAGTGTACACACGACAAAGTGCACGTCACTTAGCTTTCTGCTTAGACTCATGCTTCACTAAACTTTCAAGATAGAACTCTCATTGCATTATTCAGGAAGTTTAGTTCTTAGTTGGAGGCTAGAAATTGTGTTAAATACCAAAACAGTTGTAAACACTTAGAAGGACAGTGTTACCTAGTCCTAAGTGTGGTGAAATAGAATATAGTACCTTTTGATCCCCACTGGATCAATTAAGAAAATCTAAGGATTGAGTAACTTGGAGTGGTGTGTACTCCTTGTGAAACACCTTTCAGTTTGAGCTAGTTGTGTGATAAAGGCCAGATTGGCACTAAGTGTATTGGGCTTAATACATTAGTGGAAATCCACCTGAAAAAGGGTGGGACTGGATGTAGGAGGATTACACCACCTCTGAACCAGGATATATTGTGTGTTGATTCATTTTCAGTCAACAAAGCACACACCAAACACTTCTTCAACTTAGCAGCAATCTGAGCAGTAACATCAGCAGTAGTCTACTGCCCACCCCACTGCTCACCTCTCTGCTAAGCATACTGCTCGTCTATACACTTGCCTAAAGACATCTCAATGCTTTAGAAGTCT